CGTCCCCACGTTTTCCCATCGTTATCTGGGTAGCCCCCACTCATCCTTTTGGATTCAGCTTAGACCACACTTCCTCCAGGAAGTTTTTGCTGTGCTGTAATTGACCTGCCTGTTGAGGGAAGGGAAAAGTTTTATTTATGTTTCTATTCCCAGGGCCCACTGTAGTGCCTGACATAAGGTAAGGACTCAATGAATGCTTTGGAAATGTATAGTGAGTCCTTACCTATCACATCTGGTGCATCAATCTGAGCTCCAGTTTAATTCGTTACCCACAGGCCACTAGCCAGACACAAGCGTCCGCCTCCAATTCAGACACAGATGCATCCAGCTGACAGCTTTGCACCCCTTCTTACAAAGCCATGGGGGGAGAGGTCAATGCGGGGGAAGGAGGTATATGTAATACTTTAAACAGTAACAAATTTAAAATAAAATACAAAGCCATGGTACAGGAGCTCAGAAGATGGCGGCGTAGGTAAGCGTCTGTACTCGCCTCCTCCCTCAACCACATCAAAATTACAAATAAAATACAGAGCAACCATCACCCAAAACCTCTGGAAAGCTGGCTGAATGGAAGTCCTACAACTAGAGACGTAAAGAAAGCACACTGAGGCTGAGAGAAGGTGCGGAGGCTCGGAAGAGGCTGGGCCGGCACCACGTGTGACGCTTTCTTAATCGGGAGGGAGATTCCCCTGCAGAGAGCACCCGGAGGAGCAAGCGGTCCCACCCCCACACCAGACCCCCAGCCCAGGGTCCCAGAGCTGGGAAAAGAACTACGGGCTGGCTGTGAAAACCACTGTGGATTGGAGCGCAGAGACACAGAAGCTGCTAGAGACCCAGCTGTTCCTCTTAAAAGGCCGGCACCACAAACTGAACTTACAAGCTCGGCTTCCTCTGAGCTCCAGTGCCGGGCGAGGCTCTGGGGAACACAGACACATACCGGGAGGAACTGGATTGTCTGGCATCAGGACAGGAACTCGGGGACGGCTTGCAGGGAGCATTGGTCCCATGCTGGGACCTCCCTGGTCGCAGGGCTGACTGGCAGCCATTTCTGTTCGCTCCGCCCTGGTGATTCCGTAAGACCCTGCCTCACCCAATTTATAACCCCTGACCCAGCTGCAGCTTGTTTGAGAGTTTTTTGATTAGCAGGGAATAAACAGCTATATCTGCCAGCATGACAGCAGGATGAACTGCTTCCTCAAGGGTTGCCTCCTCAACCCAATTATCCCTGCCACTCGCTGAAAAGTGTAGGAATTGAACAGACATAGAGGATGATGGGTAGAGGAGAGGTTGAAAGAGAGCGTTCCAGAAGAGGGAACAGCATGTGCGAAGGCCTCAAGCAGAAAGAGAGCTTCCAATTGTTTGTTTATTTTCCTCACCAGATGATGTTTATTGATTTTAGAGCAGTGGTTCTCAACCTTCTGGCCCCTTAAATACAGTTCCTCATGTTGTGACCCAACCATAAAATTATTTTCGTTGCTACTTCATAACTGTAATGTTGCTACTGTTATGAATCGTCATGTAAATATCTGATATGCAGGATGGTCTTAGGCGACCCCCGTGAAAGGGTCGTTCGACCGCCAAAGGGGTCGCGACCCACAGGTTGAGAACCGCTGTTTTAGAGCGAGAGGGAGGGTGTGAGAGAGCAAGCAAGCAACATCGATCTGTTGCGTCCTGATGCTTCCTGACCCAACCCACAACCCAGTATGTGCCCTGACCAGGACTGAAACCACACCTTTCAGTGCACGGACGACACTCTACCAGCTGAGCCACCAGGCCAGGGCAAGAGCTCCATTCACTGAAAGACCGGGAGATGGGCAACGCGTGCAGAGGACTGGGGCAGGTGATGGACACGTTCATATGTATATGTATATGTATATGTATATGTATATGAATATGTATATGTATATGTATATGTATATGTATATGTATATGTATATGTATCTGTATATGTATATGTATATGTATATGAATATGTATGTTAGTTTATTTCAGAGAGGAAGAGAGAGGGAGAGAGAGAGAGAAACATCAATGATGAGAATCCTGCATGCCCCTCACTGGGGACTGAGCACCCAACTCAGGCACATGCCCTGACCAGGAATCAAATAGTGACCTCCTGGGTCATAGGTCGATGCTCAACCACTGAGCCACACTGGCTGGGTGACATTCCTGGCTTTATTTTTTTAGGAGCAGAAGCCCTGGCCGCTCTGGGAAGCCCTCACCAACGAGGGGGTTAAGTGCCCTTCTGATGTCCTACCATGTTGTCAGTAACTCCCTCATCCCTCCACTCATGACCACGAACCTGCCCTTGCCCCTCCTTGGTCCCTCCTCAGCTCCCTTGGGTCTGGAAACTCCTGCAGGGCATGGACCATGTCTGGAATCAGTAAGGCCATTGAATTGTTACCTTAAAAGCCTTTCAAATCATCAGATTCACTGTGAACTCCCTGGTCTTCAGCACGAGTGGTGCCCACGCGGGAACTCCTCCTGTGGGGCCACCTGACTGGGCCCAGGGGAGCTGATGGGAGCAGGTCCCTGCCTCTTCCTGCCCCCCTCACGGAGATGGACCCCAGTCCCTGCCATTACCTATTGAAGCTGGAACACATGAGGGGGCACAGACGTTTGGTTTAAAACACCAGGGGCCAGTTAAACAGTGGTCAAGTCTTCTGAGCATCACGGGGAAGTTGTAGGGCGCAGGCCTGCAGGAGGAGGATGGGCTGACAGAGGGGCCTGTGTGGGACCCCAGACCAGGGAGAAAAGAGACCTAAATAAAGGAACAAGGTTGAGGCCCAGGGTTTTGGGCAAGAACATGCATGTTGGAGCCACTTTGCTCCTGGTCCCCATTTCGAGGTGATGTGCTTGTTACAAAGCGAGCTGGCAGGAGTGTGCAGGTTTGTGGCCTTGGCTAACCGTCAGAGGAGATCAGCCAGGAGCAGAGCACACTGCAGGGTTGGAGGCCTGTGTGTCACAAGGCACACCTGAAAGGGCACCTGATTTCCTGGGTCATCAGGGACTCACCAGCTCCTGAACAGCAGCCTCTGGGTTGGGGGGACCCAGTGAGAGGCTCCAGATCACCTGTGAGCCACCCATGCCGGTGATGCGCCAGCTGGGAAGGGTGCAGGGGGCTGCACACACCCGCCCTGGGCCCGAGCCCACCTCACAATGGATCAGACAGTCTCACCAGATGAGGCAGTTCAGTCTAAGGCACCTGTGAGAATCTGGAGCCTCTGGGCATTTGGGGACAAAGGCGGGGTCCCAGGTGTGGCAGATCTGAGGAACTGGCCAGTCCCACTTCCCTTCTAGGACACCACTTTCCCAGCCGCCCTTCAGACCTGTGGGGCCATGTGACTGGTCCCAGCCAGTGCGACCAGGGTCCCATGACTGGCAGGTCTAGCCTGGAAGTCAACATCCCACACTCTGTCGCTGGCTGCCTTCTTCCCCTTCAGCAGAGCCTCCCTGTCCCCAACCTTCTCACCTGGACTCACCCCAACTTCTCACCTGGACTCACCCCACTCCTCTCCAAGTCCCTTTGCCAGGAGTCCCTGCAGCGCTAAAGAGGTGGGTCCCTTTCTTCCTGCTGAGCCTGGGATGTTAGCAGGTGTGAGACCTGCAGAGGCTTGAAAATGCATTTGCTTGTTTCTGCTTCCCTTGGGCTCATTCAATTACCTTGAAGCCATGCCTGAGCGAGCCTGCTGGAACCTAGGAAAGCCCAGGCACCCTGTCACTCAGCCAACCCCACGGCATGGGAACCAGCCACCCAGGATGTGTGGACAAAGCCGAGACCAAAGAGCTGCCCAGCCAAGCCCCATCTACATTGCTGACTCACAGAATTCAGCTAAGGAAATGTTTATTATTCTTTTGTGATTGATTTTATGCAATAGTCTTGTGTCAGTAGATAATGCAACAGTGGCATCTGAAAAAGACTAAATGGAGCAGAACCACCACCATCCCGTGGGGCCCAGAGGTTCACAAACAGAAGCTTTACTGTGCTGTCACAGTGAGACTCGGGGTGAGCTTGTTACTGCAGCAGAGCCTGTCCTGTCCTGACTAATCCACAAGGACACAGATCACAGGCCCCGTCTCTGCCCTGGTGTCTGAGACCCATGAGCAGAGGGGAGCCGGTAGGTTAAATGAACTATAGGAATAGCAGATAGCCTGCTCATCATGGAGGGGAAATCCTGGCCGGTCTTGCGGAAGCCGAGGCGCTGGTAGAGGGCCAGGGCGGAGTACTGCAGCATGCTGGTGCTGAGGACAACCTCACTGTAGCCCTGGTCCCGTGCAAACTGCAGGACGGTCCTGACCAGGGCTTTGGCGATCCCCTGGCCCCGGTGCTCCCAGGCCACGCTTAAGTGAAACAGCTCCACCTGCTCCTTCCGCAGGGTGGGCTCCCCAACGGGCAGAGCTCCCACCGTGCCCACCACCTGCCCCTCACACTCAGCCACCCAGAAGCAGGAGCCTGGCTCACTCAAGTAGGTTTTGCTGATGTCACGCATGTCTGTGCGCAAACAGTTGGACACATACTGGGTCCAGGGGTATTTGGCCAGGAACCTCAGGGCAGCCAGGAGGGTGAGGCCGGCCATGAGGGCCAGGAGCCAGGACCCAGAGACCACAAACAGGGTGAGGGGCCCCCCAAGCAAGAGCACAAGAGTTCGTGGCAGCTTCAGGATGTGGCGGAAGGTGGTGGGGGCGTGCTCGGCCATGCCCCGGGCGAACAAGTCCAAGACCCTTGGGCGGTCGCTCTCCTGGTATTTGCGGATGTGACAAGGAGCCATGGGAGACTGGTGGGTCTGAGCCTTGAAGTCCAGCAGAGAGAGATAGGCGTCCCTGTACCCTTCCCTGGGGAAGAAAGAGGAAGCCAAGTAAGAACCCCATCTCCCACCTCCCGGGGACCACAGAGCCCCTGTCAAGGGCTTGTCATTCTGCTGCTGCCCCGGGAAGTAGGACACAGCCACTGGGAGAAGGTGCAGGGTCAGAAAGACTTGCATTTGACTTGGCTTCATTCCTTTCTAGCTGTGTGACCTTGGGCATGTTGCCTAACCTCTCTGAGCCTCTTCATCTGTACAACAGCATAAAACCAAAGCCTGCCTCTGAGGTTGTTCTGAGAATTTGATAAAACAACAGATAAAAGTACCCTGCCCTCCACTTCTTCCCTCCCACCCGTTTTTAAAAAATCCTCACCCGAGGACATTTTTCCATTGATTTTTAGAGAGTGTGGGAGAGGGAAAGCCAGAAATACCAATGTGAGAGAAACACATCAATTGGTTGCCTCTTGCATGTACCCCAACCAGGGCCTAGGCCTGAGGTACGTGCCCTTGACTAGAATCAAACCTGGGACCCTTCAGTTTGCAGGCTGATGCTCTATCCACTGAGCCAAACCGGCTTGGGCCCTCTTCCATCTCTTCCTGCCTCTCCTCTCAGCCCCTTGCTACATTGGTGCCACAGTGCAGCAGCCAGAGCATGTGCCCCCTCACCCTTGGTGCCTCTGCCAGGGTCCACCCTTTGCAGGAAGCCTGTGTCCCCAAGCACAGGTCTCAGCAAAGGCTCCTTCCCCCCGATTGCAAAGGTGGAGGCTGCTGAGCTGGCCCGAGAGCCCAACACCCAACCTGGCCCTGCCTTGAGAGCCAAAGGGGGGCCGGAGCTGCAGGCCACACTCAGAGCCCCGTCCTTCCACCCACGTCCTCTCACCTGGCACCACAAAAGCCTCGAATGTCCAGGGTGGCCTCAGCCCGGCCTCCTCCCTCAGCCTCTGACTGGCATCTGGGGAGACTGCACAGGGCTGGCTCTAGCTCTGGGACCAGGCCCTGGAGGCCACCTCATTGGCTGGCTCCTGGCCATGTTAATCATCAACCCGTGTCAGGGAGCTGGGCAGGGAGCCTATTCTCCTTTCACTTTTGTAAAGGGATCATTATCTGGGAGCTGGGGAAGCAGGGTCTGGGACAGCCTGAAAGGGCAGCACAGACTTATGGGCAGTCCCTGTAGTTTTGAGTGTGTGTTGGGGGTAGTGATGGGTGATTAAAGACCCTTCCCCTGAGATGGCTCAGTTCAAGACTGCGGAGATGTGGAGTAACAATGACCTCCTGGGTCATTCCCCGTTCCCCAACTTATTCCAGAGCGCATGGCAGACAGCCAGTTTGTAGCTTTAATATGTAACCCTTGATGAAGGAGGCAAATCATGTGACCAACCAAACTGCACATAGCACCTGTCTTGTATTAAAAGCCTTTAATGAATGCATATCCTCATCCCCAGTAATTCCACTTACAGGAAGCTGTTCTAAAGAGAAACAGTCTGGCCAGCGTGGCTAGTGATTGAGTGTTGACCTATGAATCAAAAGGTCACGTTGGATTCCTGGTCAGGGCATATGACCGAGTTGTGGGCTTGATCCCCATTGTTGGGCGTGGAGGAGGCAGCCGATTAATGATTCTCGCTCATCATTGATGTTTCTTTCTCTCTCTCCCCCTCCTTTCCTCTTTCTGAAATCAATAAGAATACATTTTAAAAAATAAAGGAGAAACATGTACCAAGATTTACTTGCAAAGGGGAGGCAAAAATTTGAAAGCAACACAAATGTGTAATAATGGAACTACATATGTGAAATGTTACACATCAATAAAACGAACATGCTTGTGAGGGCATGGGAAGAGGAGCACAGCATCTGGGGTCTCACAGATCGGAAATTTAACCCTGACCGCAGCATTTTGAGCTTTGAGGGGAGCAGCATCTCTCAGCTTCAGGGGAAACATGCATTTACTTATTTATTTAAAATATACAGGAAGGACACAAAATCGATCTATTATTCCCAAAAATATTTAAACTGATTCAAATCACAAACAATTCCAGATTGTGGAATTCTGAAAGATATCTGGAGTACTCTTAAAACAATCTCAACATTACTTTTTTTTAAAGAATTGTTCTAAAGGAGACTAAGAGCCACGACAAACACAATGCAGGGTGAGTGCCACAAGGACTGCAACTTACTTTCAAATAATATTTGCAATGGTTTTGTACACTTGAAATTTTTTGAAATAGACTTGAGAGACCAAGTCTGGTTTTTCGCTGGCAAAATCCCCTGGGGTTGTAATGAAGACTAAGTGAGGTAGTGCATTAAAGTGCTTAGCACAGTGCATGCAGGAAACGGTAGCTGTGTGCTTCTGCACTTGAGGAGCCGCCCTGAGTGTGTTCCTTCCAGCTGTGCAGTGACCCACTGAGCACACGCTGAGATGAGGCCTTCTGCCGGCCGGGGCCCAGCGTCACTGCAAGTCTTCCTGCCGATTCACGCTGGCTACACAGTGAGCAAGGGGCTTTGTCATGTGAAGCCAATGAGCTGTAGGGATCGGAATTGCAGCCTAATCTAACCCAGAACTCCACAAACCACAGTCCTCGGTCATCCTGCCCATCACTTATTTCCAGTTTTACTGGAAAACAACCACACTCCTCATTCATGTACGGTCTGTGGATGCCCCTGCACTACAACAGTGAGAGCTGAGTAGATGCAACAGAGACCATTTGGCCTGCAATGCTGTAAATATTTACTATCTGGCCCTTCACAGAAAGGTTTGCCAACCATGACCTAGTCTACCTTGACTGATACAATCAAAATGAGAAAAAAACCCAAATCACTTATAAAACATGATTTTACATTAGCGGTAGGACCTTGGGCAAGTTACCATAATCTTTTAGTGGCCGAGTATAAAATGAGGGTAAAAACAGCATCTATCCCAAAAAGTGTTATGAGCTAGTGTTTATAAAATCACTAAGCCCTGACCAGTTTGGCTCAGTGGATAGAGAATCAGCCTGTGGACTCAAGGGTCCCGGGTTCGATTCCGGTCAAGAGCATGTACCTTGGTTGTGGGCACATCCCCAGTAGGGGGTGTGCAGGAGGCAGCTGATCGATGTTTCTAACTCTCTATCCCTCTCCCTTCCTCTCTGTAAAAAAAATCAATAAAATATATATTAAAAAAAAATCACTAAGGCAAAAACCTAGTACCTTGTAGACATCCAACAAATGTTTGCATTTACTATTCCAATTATATAAAAACTAGAGGCCTGGTGCATGGATTCATGCACCTGTGGGGTCCCTCGGCCTGGCCTGCACCCTTTTGCAATCCAGGACCCCATCAGTGCAAGATCGGGGACAGGGAGGGCTCCAGGGCGTATCTGGCCCGTCTCACCCAGTCCCAATTGGGGCCAATGGGGCTGGCCAGTTGGGGAGGGGCCACAGGAGGTTGGCTGGCTGGGGAGGGATCGAGGGAGTGTTCCAAGGCATGTCTGGCCCATCTTGCCCAGTCCCGATCGGCTGAACCCGAGCAGCAAGGTAACCTACAGGTTGGATCGTCTGCCCCCTGATGGTCAGTGTGCATCATAGCTACTGTTAATCGGTTGACTGGTCAAATGGTCGACCGGTTGCTTAGGCTTTTATATATATAGATAAAATATATCTGAATGGAAATAGAAGACTAGAATAACAAATAACACTAACAGTGATTATCTTTGAAAATATTTACAGGTAGAAATAGGTTTCCCCCCGTTATACCATTCTGTTTTAAAATTTTCTATAATAAACACATATAAATCCTATATAATAAAACCCTAATATGCAAATTGATTGACTGAACGACCGGCCACTATGACATGCACTGACCACCAGGGGGCAGATGCTCAATGGGGGAGCTGCCCTCGGTCGGGGCCATAGAGGGAGGCAACCGGTGGCGGCAGCAGGGAGCGGGGCCAGCCAGCAGGCAGCGCCAGTACCACCAGCCAAGACAGGTGCCAGCGGGGGCTCGCCCCACCGGTCACCCCACAGATTGGCCCTGATCACTGGCCAGGCCTAGGGACCCTACCCTATGTATTGGGAACAGCCTTAGATTTAAAAATTAAAATCTGACAAGGCCACTCTAACACTGAAAAAACAGGATGATGCAGCGATGACATGCATGGACTCTGGCTTGCACATTTTGTGGTCAGCCCTGATTCTGACACTTATAACTGTGTGACAAAGCCAATTACTTAACTTCTCTCTGCTTCAGTTTTTCCACCCATAAGATGGGGAAAATGGTACTACTGCCTCAGAAGGATCATGTTATGTGCTACTTTTTATAATCAGGGCAAAAATGTAGCTGCCCATACAACAGCAAGATGCCTTTTTTTAAAAAATATATATTTTATTGATTTTTTACAGAGAGGAAGGGAGAGAGATAGAGAGTTAGAAACATCAATGAGAGAGAAACATTGATCAGCTGCCTCCTGCACATCTCCTACTGGGGATGTGCCCGCAACCCATGTACATGCCCTTGACCGGAATCGAACCTGGGACCCTTCAGTCCGCAGGCCGATGCTCTATCCACTAAGCCAAACCAGTTTTGGCAAGATGCCTTTAAAAAATATATATATATATATATATATATATGTATATATATATATATTTTTTTCTATTGATTTCAGAGAGGGAGGGAGAGGGAGAGATAGAAACATCAATGATGAGAATCATTGATTGGCTGCCTCCTGCATGCTCCCTATTGGGGATCAAGCCGCAACCCCGGGCATGTGCCCTTGACTGAAATCGAACTGGGGACCCTTTGTCCTCTATCCATGGAGACAAACCAGCTAGGGTGGCAAGATGCCTTTCACCTGTATGAAAGTATGGTCACTGGTGCATGCAGCATCCCAGATTTCGAGGGATGTCTGACTGCTGGTTTAGGCCTGTAAACCGGCAGTTGGACATCCCCCGAGGGGTCCCGGATTGTGAGAGGGCACAGGTCGGCCTGAGAACACTCTCCACCCCCGCACAAATTTCGTGCACTAGGCCTCTAGTTTTATTATAAGAAAAGAAAAAGCAACGTTTTTTTATAAATGCTGAACATTTTTAATGTTTCTGACATTTCACAAAACATCTTTTGTTGACATTCTACAAATGACAGCATCCAATAATGTCCCAATCCTTTCTTCTTGTGAAGATAGTTTATATATCTATAAAAATAAAATACAAATTATGGCATTCTAATATATTCATGCACTACTAACTTTGATTACACAAACCTGTAAGTGAAATCATTTATCATTCAATTATTGGGATAACAGTATGAAATTAAAATGTGACAAAATATGCAAAGCAGATGCATCACATATGTCAAAAGTGCCCTTTAAATTGAAATTATGGTGGTAGCTCTCTAAACATAGAAACTAAATTTGTACCAGTTTTAAAGGCATACACACTAGCTTCATACTAAATTTGTTACATTACAAATGTAATATAACTATGTAAGCTTGACATCTAAAGTTGTCTATTCTTTCTTAATTAGAAAATGCTTTTATCAACCAAGTTTCTAATTATATTTTACACAAACCTGCCTCTTCCAATTCTTCGCATCTATAATAATTTTTCAAGTAATTTTAAATTATGTTAACCTTTCTTAAAAGTTCAAAAAAATGCCACGGCTGGGTGGCTCAGTTGGTTGGAGCGTTGATTCCTGGTCAGGGCACATACCTAGGTTGTGGGTTCTATCCCCAGTCAGGGAACATATGGGAGGCAAGCGATTAATGTTTCTCTCTCTCCCTTCCTTTGTCTAAAAAAATAATCAATGGATTGAAAAAAAAGTTCGAAAAAGAAAAAAGCAGCATAGATTAGCAATAGCAAACAGCATTGGTATTATTCCTTATCTATCACCTTTTTGGATTTACAAACCTTTTTAACTTCTGTAATATTTGTTATTTCAGGAAGATTTTTCAGGGAAACTTGCTGACCTTCTACCTTAGCTATTAGGTCTTCTTTATCTATTTGTTTTTCTCCATCTTCAATGTAAACAATTAGAACTGAAGTGTCATTTGCTGAGATACCGAATTTTTTCAAAGCCTCTGAAATCTGGGGGGAAAAAGACAATAAAGCAATAGTTTCTATGTCTGAAGCACCTCACCATCTTTCTTCCTGCTCAGGGTATTTTCATATCCTGGGAGTTCTCTCTGCCTAGTTTTTATCTTCAATAATCCCTTCCCAACATCTACCAGTTCTGCCTCTACAGCACTCTCTGCTCATCCTGTGGAATCAAGCTCAAACTTCTTCGCAAGGCACACCAATCACCCCTCCTCCGGCCGGTGACCCTCAGTCCTGCACTCCTGCCGACCAGCCGGGCTAGACTGTTTGGAGATCCCATCATGTCACACTTCACTGCCTGTGTGCTGTTTGTGCTCTGCCTGGAGTGCCCTCACCCTCAAGGTGCAGTTCAAACGTCACTCCCTCCTGCACCCTCCTCCTTACAGAAAAATTGTTCTTTGCTGTTCCCACAGATGTGAATTATCATTCCCATCATATCATTTATCTTAGGGCATTTGGACTTCTGTCTTGTTCACCTGCCTTCCTCAGGAATGTATCTGTTCCTTCTGTTCCTAGAACTGAATGGCACAGGGACAAACTCAACAGATGTCTACTGAATTGAATAGTTTCTTGATTTCTTCCAAATGTTCTCAAAGAAATAATAATTACCTGGTAATTTTTTCCTCCAGGTACTGGGGGATTCTATCATCATGCATTTCATGAATATTTCAAACATCTGTATTTTAAATCATACCACAGGTTTCCTAAGTTTTCTTTTGATGACATTAGTACCTGGTTGTGTTATTAATAGTCGTGGTAATACTTAAACTTCATCAGCAAAATTTCAGCTATTTTTTATTTTTATGTGCCACATGTGGAATGTCTTTAGCTCAAAACTTTTGAGTTACTATCAGTATCTCAAACCACAAACTCTTTCTACACACGGAGTGTGGGAATGAGCACGTGTTAAGGGCTGTTCTAGGTAGTAGGCAGGCTTCTCGTAGATGGAAAAGACATGGGTTCTACCCTCAAGTTTACAGGAAGAATTAAAAATGCATACGATAGCACAAATATCCATGCCTATTGTTTTATCATTTAGATTCAGATGTCACTTAGAGGGATCTTCCTGATCCTATATAGATAAAACTATGCTCATTTAATTTAGCAAAACTTATGTTTGCTCAAATGCAAAGTGAGTCCAAAGCTAAACCTCAACTCTCTATCCAGACCTCTCTTCACTACTCCTTTGGTTTGCTACTAACAATAGACTTACAGGAATTCTGGGGAACACTCATATTATCATGACAAGGTGAGCAGAAATAAAGTTAAGCAAAATCCATATTAATTACATTGTTATTTGGGGACAGGTTGAAAATAATTTCAGTAGATAGAGTTCTTGTCTTCATTTTTCCTAGTTTGTAGAGATGAACTGCTTTGTTTGCTGCCACAAGTATCTGAAATGGATCGACAATCTACCAAAAAAAAAACAAAACACACAAAACAAACAAACCAAAAAGAATTACACACAGAGAATCTGGAGTACTCTGAAGTCGCATGCCCTATCTCATGATAACTCCAAGGTCAGGCTGTTTTACTTCATCACAATTCCTATGAACTATATTTCCAAAATTGCTATCTCAAGGACCTGGGTGTTCAGAAAATCATAGAATTTTAAAGCTGCAATGAACTTAAATAGTAAAATAAATTAAAAATAACATTTATCAAGGGCTAATATTATGGGAAAGGTCATATTCTAACCATTTTATACTTCTACTAGAGGCCTGGTGCACGACATTCGTGCACTGGGAGGTATGGGGGTCCCTCAGCCCAACCTGCACCCTCTCCAATCTGGGAGCCCTCAGGGGAGCCCTCTCCAATCCGGGAGTTTCTGTCTGTCTTTGCAATCATATGAGCGAATTGTCTGAGACCCCAACTCAGTTTGGTTTGTTGCTCACAGAATAATAGAGGCATTTCATTTTCTTTGCTTCATTGGTGGAGATTTCCTGGAAGTTTTAGGATATCTTCCCTTTAATTTTTCCTAGACACTCTGATTTTACTTATGTCTCTCACCTTTGCTTTCCCTCCATCCCCCACAGCAACAGTAACTTGCTCCAGGCTCACTTTGCTCTAGTGCAGTGGTTCTCAACCTTCCTAATGCCGTGACCCTTTAATACAGTTCCTCATGTTGTGGTGACCCCCAACCATAAAATTATTTTCGTTGCTACTTCATAACTGTAATTTTGCTACTGCTATGAATCGTAATGTAAATATCTGATATGCAGGATGTATTTTCATTGTTACAAATTGAACATAATTAAAGCATAGTGATTAATCACAAAAATAATATGTAATTATATATGTGTTTTGTGATGGTCTTAGGCGACTCCTGTGAAAGGGTTATTTGACCCCCAAAAGGGTCGTGACCCACAGGTTGAGAACCGCTGCTCTAGTGTCTAGGAGATCCGTCTGCCACCAGAACTACGATTCCCAGCATTCCTGGTGCTCCTCGCGATCTTGGTTTTCCCTTCCTGCTCTGTCTCCATCCCTGGCGTCCCACTCTGCCAAGTCCTCCAAGCTGCCAGCTCTCCCTCTCTGCTCTCTGCCCAGTGGCTTGAGGGGCGTGGCTCCCTCAGTTGCTGGGAGCGACCAAGGGAGCCATGTCCCCCCAAGCCTCCGGCTCTTCCGCTGTGCTCTCCACCTGGCACCTGTGTATGCAAATTAACCTGCCATCTTTGTTGGGTTAATTTGCATACTCACTCCTGATGGGCTGGTGAGCATAGCAGAGGGATGGTCAATTTACATGTTTCTCTTTTATTATATAGGATTATCCTTTAATTCTTAAAACTACCCTATGAAATCAGTATACTTATTCACCTGCAGTAGATGAAACAAAAGTAGGGAATCTCTACGTTTGAATACCAGCTGTGTCACTTACCAACGACTCGGGCAAACTCCTTAGTGTTTCGTTAGGTGGAGGTAATCATAATATTTCACAGAGTTGTTGTGAAGTGAGTTAGTATATGTAAAGCACTTAGAATGATGCCAGAACAGAGTAAACACTATATAGACATTGGCTACCATTTGTGCCAAGTCCTAACCACTGGCAGAGTTGGGATGAAGTCCTGGCAATGTGATTCCACAGCGTGTGCTCGTCAGCGCTATACAATGCCCCTTTGCAAAGATTTTCTAGTTCAGGTGAGAGATGGAGATCCAGGCATCTGCCCTTATGAAGCCAGACCACATCTTTCCCACCTCCTAGCGCAGGGCCTGAAACTTCAGCTTCTATTCACTATTAAACTCAAGGCTGCCCAAGTCTGACTCCACTCCACAGCTTGGACAAGAACTTTTTACCCGAAGATGGCGATTTTAGGCTAGCCTATTACATCATGAAAAATTAACATATTCTTAAATGCCCGTATGTCTTCATTCTCACTTGTACTTACCACTGTAGGGTTTATCAATGAACTATCAATAGCACCTTCCATGGCCTTTTTTCTCAAGTCTCCAGCATTTTTTACATCTTTAAATAACAGAAGGGTCACCCTGCATTCCGGAAATAGGTCCAGCTGATGTGTTAACTGCATTTCATAGATAAGCAGGATTCTATTGCATAAAACCAAAAAGACCAAAAAACTTCTTTTGTTTAAAAGTTAACATTAGAATTCATAACAAACATCCTTGCTGATAAATTTAAAAATTTTAATGATACAACTGCTAAACTAGAAAAATCCACCCCAAAAGCACATCTGGCTTCCTCATGGGCTCTTATCTTCTTCACCCTGCTGAGCTCTCTGTAGTTGCCTTTACTGGGAAGGGGTCGTGGCTGCTGCCCGATGCCCTGTTGTACAGGTGAGGAAGCTCAGAGGCATGGCTGAGGGCAGCTTCCCCAGCAGCTGACTAGGAGCAGAATACCAGGAATTCTTTAGGCTATAAGTTACCTACAGTATTAACAAAACTGAGAGTGGGGAAGGGCATGTAATAATAGAGCCACAGCTGTCTAATAATTATCCACTTACTAACTATAGAGAAGAAGTTTTCTTACAGACCCTGGGGAACTGGAGGATGAAACAAGATTGTAAAAAGGTAAGATACCTCCATGGGTCCACTACTCAGAAAAGAAATACATTTTGAGAACAGACCAAGGACAGGACATGCTTCGATTTGGTTGCTGTGCCCAGACCCTGACCCCCGCTGGGAGTTTACCTCAGGAACGCTGACCATTCTCCAGCCCCAGGAACCTGCTGAGCTGTTTGTAACATCATAAAAGATTAGCCACCTTGTTATCGGACTTTGAGCTCCTGAAGGCGGACAGCAGACTCTACCCTCCCCTTTTCATGTTACACTTGCAGCTCACGGCTGCATGTTGCTAGCTATCTTCTCCCTTGTGTGGATATAAACAGCCACCTGGCAAGGGGGGGTCAGAGCAGAATTTCCAGGGTGACGGACTGGTCTCCCCATACAGCCGGCATTATGGAATGAACGCTCATGTATAATCCAACCCTGTCTCTGCTTAATTTGGCTCAAGTAGTGACAGGTGGCCTCGGACCCATTGTGTCGGGTTTCAAAACCTGTCTTCTGCACGGCCTTTTTAAACTTTCTGATCTCACCATTTTATTTGTATTTTAGCAAAACCTAGACACATATTAAGGGAGAAAATAATTTTATAAATAAAAGTGTGACATGACTCAAAGTCATTTCACACATGGAATTTCAGCAGAGAAGGCACATTATTAAATAATCAGTAATACTGGCCCTTTCTTAGACATAATTTAATGAGGAAAGGGAAGGGTATATACAAAGACATGAAAGAAGCATAAGAGACAGTTTGAATAATGAGAAAGACATAACTATAACCTAGATGGAAAAACAAAGTCTTGCAAAAATTTGATCTTTAAAACAATTTCAATCAAAGGCTTAATTAGATATTTGGGTGAGGCAATTTGATAGGTTCACGTTATCTCCACCTGGTAGGTTCCATTTCTAGAACTCGTTCTCAAGGAATAAATTGGACATCTGAGAATTTATGTAATAAGAGGTCCCTCTCATTCTAACAGTAAAAAGTTGAAACCTGCTCTAGCCGGTTTGGCTCAGTGGATAGAACGTCGGTCTGCGGACTGAAGGGTCCCAGGTTCGATTCTGGCCAAGGGCACATGCCTGGGTTGCGGGCTCGATCCCCAGCGGGGGGTGTGCAGGAGACAGCCGATCGATGATTCTCTTTCATCATTGATGTTTCTCTCTCTCCCTCTTCCCTCCTCTCTGAAATCAATAAAGAAATATATATTTTTTAAAAAGTTGAAACCTATTAGCTAGTAACAGGGGACTGGTTGTGACAAAACAACCATTAAAACCTATAGTCTTGCCCTAACTGGTTTGGCTCAGTGGATAGAGCGTCGGCCTGCGGACTGAAGGGTCCCGGGTTCGATTCCAGTCAAGGGCATGTACCTGGGTTGCGGACACATCCCCAGTGGGGGTTGTGCAGGAGGCAGCTGATCGATGTTTCTCTCTCATCGATGTTTCTAACTCTCTGTCCCTCTCCCTTCCTCTCTGTAAAAAATCAATAAAATATTTTTTAAAAAACACCTACAGCCTTAAAGAGTAAAGACAAAATAGTAATAAATAACATTAAATAAAAACCTCTGATTGGAAAACAAAACATAGAATTCAGCATAAATCATGGGTTTTTATAAAAGGTGCACACACACAAATTTAAAGGAAAATACACCAAAAAGCTATCTCTAACTTGACAGAATTACATCTGACTTTTTCTGTTACAATCAGGAAAAGAAATATCTGTAAATAATGTTCTGGCACATACCAGTTCAATCTTTATTGTCATGATAATGTCCAATGGGGAAAAAGTAGATACAAAAAGACATAATGAATATATTCCCAGTTATACAAAAAATTGCAGAAAACAAAAACATGAAGGAAATACACCAAAAATGGCCATCTTGGGTAGTTGGATTATAGATAATTTTTTACTGTCCTACATAAAAAATTTGTGTGTGTATGTTCTGAGTTTTCTACAGAGAGCACACAAAATTTACTAAGTACATATAATCATGGAGGAAAAAATACTTCCTGTGGTTTCAGTTTTTACACTAGAGGAAAAGGAAATTGTTTTGTTTTGAATTCACTCACTTAGGCCAGAAACGTATCACTTAAACAGCATATCTAATCCATAAAGTCTTGCCAATTTTACCTCTTTTTAAAAATGCATTTTTATTGATTTCAGAGAGGAAGGGAGAGGGAGAAACATCCATGATGAGAGAAAATCACTGATTGGCTGCCTCTTGCACACGCCCCATCAGGGTCCAGCAGGGAATCCGACCGGGACCTCCAGGCTCCTGGGACCGCGCTCAGCCTCAGGTACCATCGTGACGACATTAATGAAATCATCCCTGAACGCATCAGCCTCCAAGAGAGGAGGTAATCCCCCACACAGGCTGTATTTTATTTTAAAAACTGAAACGGGGGTAGTGCTTTTCTTTTCTCGCCCTGGCTGGGTTGGCTCAGTGGATGGGGCCTCGGCCTAAGGTCTGAAGGGTCCCAGGTTCATACCGCTCAAGCGCACGGCCTGGGCTCCGCCCGGTCCCCAGTGGGGGGCGTGCAGGAGGCAGCCGATCAATAACTCTTTCTCATCATTGACGTCTCTCTCCCTCTCTCTCTGAAACCAATAATGTTTTAAAAAAATAAGTAAAAAATATTCTCACCTGAGGATATGTCTACTTATTGATTTGAGAGAGAGAACCGCGCTCCCCTCCGGACCGCGCTCTCCGCGGCCGCAATGGCCGTCCCCCCCCGCCCCCCGCGCTCTGCCTCTGGGACAGGGGCCACCGACCCAGTTCCTTCCTCCCTCCAGCCCGCTGTCAGGAGTCCATTTAGCAGCGACCCCGAGCTGGACTCTATTACACGGGCTCCTTCTCCGCCCTCGTCACACTCGGCAGTGAGCGGGAGCGTCTCGTATCCCGGGCTGTGCGCTCCCTGAAGGGGGCCCGAGTCCGTCACTTCCGGGCCGCATCCCAGGGCCCGGCTTCGGGAGGCGCTTCATAAACGAGGGGGCGGGGAACGCCAGGCGTCGCCTCAAAGGTCCCGGGTCCCAGCGGCCCAGCACCGGCCCTCCCGCTCGCCCACCCCAGCCCGCCTCCTTCCAGCCGCCCGACCGGCTCCCGCGGGGAGGACTCACCGCCGCCTCCCGCGTCCGTCTCGGAAGATCGTCCCCTCGGAAACAAAGCGGCGCCTTCTCCCCGCCCTCCTCCGGTCAGCTTCTTTCCGGATCCCCGCGGAAGGAAGGTTCCGGCCTCCAGTCCCACCCGCCCTTCCGCAGATCTTTCTCCCCAGGGGGTCCCCCAGACGCAGACAGCCGGGTTCCGTCCGTCACTTCCGGCGAGGGGTGGGGGCGCTGCAAGGGCCCGCGGGTGGACAGCTGAGGCCTGGGTGCGAGTCTCAGCCTCGTCCCTAACCCTTGTTGGGTCTTGGACGAGATGTCATCGCTTTCTTCTTGTGCAAAGCACTGGCCAGGATGAACTCCACACGCCTCCGCCGGTCAAGCTTCAGCAGTTCTTCCCTGGGGCAAGCGGGACTCAGTTTCCTTCTTGCTCTGGGCGCGGTCACTTAGGGAGGATCTCCTAGGGACCTGCGATCAGAAGAGATCGTGACAAATTATTGAAATCATCCCTGCATGTATCAGCCTCCAAGAGAGGAGGCAATCCCCTACACAGGCTGTATTTTATTTTATTGTTGTTGTTTTTTAAATTGAAGCAGGGGTAGTGATTTCCTCATTTTTTTTTTTAATTCTCACCCGAGGATATTTTTTCCATTGATTTTTAGAGCGAGTGAGAGAGGGACAGAAATATCCGTGTGTTGGGTTGCCTTCTGCAGGTGCCCTGACCAGGGCACAGGCGGGAGGAGCCTGCAACCGAGATAAGTGCAGGTGCTTTGGCTGGAATCAAGGCCAAGGCTCTATCACTGAGCCAAACCGGATAGGGCAGTGGTCGGCAAACCGCGGCTCAGGAGCCACATGCGGCTCTTTGGCCCCTTGAGTGTGGCTCTTCCACAAAATACCACGTGTGGGCGCGCACATACAGTGTGAAGTTGATTTAAAACTTTAAGTAAAGTTTATTAAGTTAATTTTAGGGAACATTGTAGAGTGAAAGAAGATGTAGTGTCGAGGATTGAGAAAGGTATGTTGAGATGGTTTGGACATATAGAGAGGATGAACGAAAGGAGATAGACGAAACAAGTATATAAGAGGAGTGTGGATGGGAGAGTTGGAAGGGGTCGAACTCAGGGAATGTACCTCAATCAGATTGAGAACGTTTTTAGCAAAGGCCAGCTTAGGAGTACCCTAATTAAGTTAATAACAATGTACCTACCTATATAGTTTAAGTTTAAAAAATTTGGCTCTCAAAAGGAAGTTCAGTCGTTGTACTGTTGATATTTGGCTCTGTTGACTAATGAGTTTGCTGACCACTGGCTAGGGCAACAGGCTGTATTTTACATTTTTTTGGTCGGGGCTCATCTTATTCAGTACTATTCTTTACACAGGAGACACGCAACACAAATATAGCTGTCTATGCATATG